TGTCTTAATTATTCTTTTTACTAACGAAAACGGTAATTTTTTTCAACAAATACCTTAGCTTTTAACCCAGTTAATAGACCGTCAATTGTAGGCGAGAAACAGTCATTTCTCGTAGCAATTAAAATTTGCGAAACAAAGGCTTAGAATGAGTTCTTGATTCGAACCATAAATTTACCTCGACTTTGTAAACAAATGAATTTAAAAGTTGGTAAAAAATATTTTTCAGATGCTGTTTTTTTAAACAGAAAAGGTGAATAAATCAAATATATAAGAGTTGAGACGTGAAAATTTTTAAAGTTTAAAAGGGTTCTTTAAAAATTTCAAAAAAGCAAGCTTTTCCTTTTCTTTAATTCTTTGTCATTTGAATCGGCTCTCATTTAGACTGGTGGCCCCACCATGTTTATTGGCTGGAGGGGATGATGCCAATCAGAGGCCCACTTTTTTTGTACAGGATGTGGATGCCATACACAGTATGTATAACCCTCTGACAACAATGAGAGGTATCTCTTCATTTCTCTAATGCACAGCCTGCGCAACCCGTCTTGAATTGTTTGCGTACAGTTATATAGGGAAAATGGAAAACATCCAAGCTCCGCATCTTACTCTTGGATTTGAAGGGAAATAAAGTTAGTTGGTTTGATCAACTGACTGGGCATCAAATGGGCTCTGAGATTTTGGAGCGAGCGGTGAACGCATTTTGGTGAAGAAGAAGAGAAAGCTAAGGAAACAGCAAACGCTCCTCTTCAGAACACAGATAATAGAGAAGTAAAGAAGAGGGAAAAGCGAGCGAAGTGAACGGGGTTCACAAAGCCTGTTCAGTTTAAATGAGTTCTGTGGTAGTTTGTGACCATAGTGAATGAGGTCAGTTAGTACTGAAATTTTCCATTCAACCGATAAGACCATTTCTTACTTTGCAGGATGAAACTCTCAGCTGCTCTACTTTTCTCATTCTTTACTGTTGCAAAGTCGCAAAAGTGTTGATGCTTTACATTTTCTGGATTATGTACTGCGTTGATTGTTGGAAGTTCTGCTTTAAAAGATTTTCTTGTTATTAACTTTCTGCTTTTGGCATGCTTTATTAAGATTTTGCCTGCTGCTTGCTACAACTTTTCTTGTAATGTTTAAATTCTTTGCGACATGTTTTCGCAAATTCTTGTTATAGACGATGTTTTTTTGCAAATACATTGTCTTTCTACATTTCATTGCTTCCTATGTGTGGCATAAAAATTGAAGTTTCTTTTTTTCTTTAATTTTTTTTTAAATTTGAAGGCGCTTTGTAAGTTCTCGATGATGATGTGGCTGGTAATGGCGCTGCTTTAGAAATTTTCTAGTTTTTTGTACACACAAGCTGATCGAGGCAGTTCTGAATTCTAGATAATTGTGAACTTATCTTCAATCAGCTATGAAAGAAGGCGTATTTTTTGGCGAAAAAGTGTTGTAAATTTTTTTTTTGTTATAAACGGGATTCTCGCGTACGGTATGCAACCACGTAGTAAAGTCATGTTGGCTTTCTGTAGTGTGTAGTGTGCATCATGTAATGTGCTTAGGGACTCGCTGAACTTTCTATGGAAAAACTGCATTATCTGCAACAGCTCAATGTAGATAGCGGTGAACTCATTTGTTATGGGGTGATCTATTTTGTGTACGAGTTAGCGTGCATAGGAACAGCAGAATTACCTTATCGAAGTAGCTGCGAGATTAAAGTGTGAATTCTAGGAGCGACTGTCAGATGAATAAGACTGCAGTATAGTAACCGCGATACAGAAAACGATGGAGTTTGTGGTAGAACAAAAATATCATTTTTTATTTCAGCAAAGAGTGATTGCTGCAGCCCATGTGCGATGGATAAAGGCCGAATCAGGGAACATTTGAGATTGAACACGACCGACAATTATTATTTATCCTAAAAAACTCATTGGGTTTCTAATAAGTCGAAGATCACTTACACACTGTAACAGACTTGGGCAACTAAATTAAGAATATCTTTCTTACTTAGATAATAATGCCTGCCGTGCGTTCAATTTTCCGTAATAGGTTGCCAGTCAGCGCATAATTACTGTATCTCAATGATAATGTTTTCCAAATATCCAGAATAAACGAAGAAGTACTAGTTGCATTACTGGGTCAATTAGTAAACTTAGCAGCTTTTTATATAACAATTTCGCATGTCTCTCATGCAGTTCTTTATTGTTTATTTGAAATAAATACAATTACTTAGCTTACCTTCTTGATTTTTCACCAAATACTTCACGTACCGGAAATTTCAAGACCAAAGACTATCCTTTCTTTTCCAATCAGAACGGTAATTTAAGAATAAGTGCAGTAGATCTCGATGCATCTTAATTATGTATGGTAATTCAAAGAGTATCTCACAAGTGATCTTGTCGATCACTGGTTGTCATTTATCTTGAAACTCTGCCATGAATCTCTCTTATTTTCCTCTTCTAAATCAAAATTGAAAGTGAAGCGCACAACAATTTCAGCATTGCATTAAAGTGATCTGAAAAGAACCCGTGAGCTCACTGGGACGTAACGAATCCTGGTGTAGCAAAAAATGACTACTGGCGAATCGGAAACGAAACACAAAACAGCTGGTAACTTTTATTAAAGAAATTATTTTTTAGCTGATTACAGAATGAGGAAGAGAACGCTGATCATTTGCCCCTAGTCAGGAAAAGGACAAACAATGCAAAATTGTCATAAGTGCTTTGCCGAATCCTTAGAAGAAGATTTGGTAGAAACGTATTCTAAAACAGTGACAAAAACGCAGTTCGAGTGCTTAGACATCAATTTCGTTCGTATTCTTTTTTGTGAAAAGTACAAAAAGTAAAAAATTAAGTTCACAAGAATGGTGAAAAATCTGCTGAGAAAACGGTACCACGAAGTTTTCATGGTTATGTCGCTGCAACACGTCAAGAAAATATTAAAAATAATGAAGCCGTCAAAAGTCGTCATCAATTTTTTTTCGCAATATGACTGCATTAAATAACATTATACTAGGTATCATAAGTAGCAGCGTGTCAAAAATACGGCTTCGCAGAAAAATTAAAAAAAATTAGCAAATTAAGCTTCTCACTATGTCATATGCACCTCTATCTAAAAAAAAAAAA